TGGTGGCTATGAAACAAAAAGAAAGAAGAAGAAGTTGGGAAGTATGATAGGTGGACTTAGAAATAGTTGGAGGATGAATAAATATGATAAAAATTGATTACATTATTATAAGAAATTCTCAATGGATTAATAAAAATTTCACATTTTTAAACAATAAAAAATCATTAAAATGGTAAAACATGAACTCTCTCAAGTTTAAGATCAGTAGATTCTCCCATTTTGGTTTGACTGCTCCTCTCTCATTTTACTCTGCACTGGAAAGATAAATTATTTCCTCAGTCAGTTAGTATTTAGGAAATACTTGCCATGTGGTAGGCATTATTCCCAGAGTGGGATTATAGGGATGGAAAAAAAATAAAGCAATTTCCTTCAAAAAATTAAAATCTAGGAAAATTAGCAGGCAAATACTATATTACATGCTGACAAAGAGAGGAAGCAGAGTATTGTAGTCATTCCTGTGTCAACATGCTGACTAAGAAGTCTTTAGTCACGTGCTGTGTGGACAGACACTAGGAAGAAATAAAGTAAACTATGTAGATATGTCTGTGAAAGGGAAGCTTGTACACCATGTTTAATGAACAAGGAGACCAAGTTTCTGGAGCAGAATGAGGCCAGAGGGCAGAATCCAGAGATAAGGCCTGAGAGGAACTGCAGATACCAGAGCAGAGGTATATTGGGGCCCTTTAGGCTTCTGTGGCTTTTCTTCTTGGTTATGCGAAGCTATTGGAGGGTGTTCAGTGGGCAGTTGCTTTTTAATAATACATCTCCAGGAATTATATAATTGTCCAGTACCTGTGATGCAACCTCCTATCTTGCTCCTTAGGATGCAGGTTGCACAGGTGAAAACTGGTCTTTCTGAACATCATTTCACTAATGATGAGTAATTAAATATGAGCCTATGGATAAAAAACAAAGCCTTAATATTATCTTATGATCACTATAGTCACTTCAGAGCTGAGACATTTAGTACTTGAGAAGATCAAATTCCTGTAACATGATCAGACTCACTCTGGGAACAATCATTCCAGCTTCTATTCTTTTAGCTGTATTTATACCAATCTCTTCAGGAGCACTGAAACAGTATAATAGAGTATTACAATAAAATACTCTAGGTTTACCTACTTGACCATTCCTTAATTATACAATTTTTGTTTTGATGCTCTCATTTGAAAATGGACTAAGTAATATATGTTCAGTGAACAGATATTATGTACTATCTATTGAACATTCTAGAAATGCAGAATAATAATACTCAGAATGGTATTTGAACTCAGTACATTACAGCTGGTATCTTGTTTGGTACTGAATACCAAGCTTAGGGCCGTGAGCATGCAAAACAAGGTCTTTACCCTGTGAGCTATACCTCCAGTGTCTATAAGTTTTACCTTTTCCCCACACTTATACTTCATTTAGAAAAGTTTATAATATAGTACAATGAAACTGAATTCCAGAGACAATGGATGCCAATAGTTTTGATGCTCTCATTTATCATAAAAGGGAGGCATGAAACTGTTCATTTGATGGAACGTATCAGCACTTGCGTAGAAAGGGATGCTTCCTGTGGTGTCATTTCAGTGGCGTTTTCTTTATATATATCAGTTAATTGTACTATCCCAAGATGAATAGACACTTTTTTTATATTCTTTCCTGCAGTCTGTTTCTTTCAATCATGCTAGAATTATTCTCCAGATCCATTTCTTAGCATTGAAACTGTAATTTGTATCAATACTGTTGCATAAAAGCATCTCCACTGTTTGTTAGTTGGAAGCGGCTATAGTCCTTTGTTGGCACAATTCCTTCTCATTACCTCACCTTGGACTGAAGAAAAGAAGTTGATGTGTCTTCTGTTACTCAGATGGTGTATTGTTTTGGCAAGAAGGAGGTAGATAGTAAAATAAAGACTTAATTAAGAATTTGACTGTTAATATTGTTAGCTTTAACTACACTCTTAAATAAAAATCTTGTGAATATGTTCTTTATCCTAGATTTTCAATTTTGTATTCATAGCAAATTAGAGGGCTGTTATTTTGAATTCAGTGTTGTACTAAGACAAGGATACAAGAAGTTGAGTTTTATGTCTTTAAAATTGTTTAGTTTCACAATGGTCAGCTGAAAATGATACTCAGAAATTTTATTCAATGGAACCTTTGGAAGTTCAAATTTTACACTGATATCAATAGAAAAGACTAATTATTTTATATAAACTAATGCTACTAATAATGGATTTTTAAAGCATTTATAACTGTGTTAATGTTTGTATTATAAACATCATTTTATTGGTAATAAATAATTGGTCTTTCTTTACAGCTTAGAAAAACCTAAAATGTTACTAATATATCCCCAATATTTATCAGAAATAATTGTCTGTTACTAAGTAATTTTATTCTTTTTTTTTTTTTTTTGGTTTTTTCGAGACAGGGTTTCTCTGTGTAGCCCTGGCTGTCCTGGAACTCACTCTGTAGACCAGGCTGGCCTCGAACTCAGAAATCCGCCTGCCTCTGCCTCCCAAGTGCTGGGATTAAAGGCGTGCGCCACCACCACCCGGCTAAGTAATTTTATTCTTTACTCTATTTCTCTGAGAGGATGGTGATACCAGAGATTTATTTATCTAATACCAAGATATACTAGTGATGGAATTTTCAAGAATTCACAAGGGTATATATTTATAAACTGATGAATTGGGACTACTCGTTTCTCCTTTTGAAGTGCCAAAGGCTAAGAATTACATGGAGGCAGGAATGTTTCCTTTTTGTTCATTAGATGTTTCTTAAGCACAGGATGCCAGTGTTTGAATCTTTAACACTCCCCACAAGGTTTGGTCCCCAGTTTGTGGTTCTCCTGGGGGACTGAAGTACAAGGGAAGAAAACTAAACCACTGGGGATATGGCCTCAAGACCCCAGTACCTCCTTTCTCTCTATTTATAAACACTATAAGTATGAAAAACTCAGACTTTCAAAGAGTCTGATTACCTTTCTTTTAAATTTTGCATTCTAGTTTACCTTCCTGGTGACCCTGGTTTCTTCCAGGAGTAAGTAGGGATAGCAGGTTGTATAGCTTTGAGACTGTTGACAGAATGAAGACAGGTATGGGGAATGCCATCAAGAGGTAACACAAGCCGCATTTTCCTGTCAGAACCTCAATTTACATGTAGCCATATTAGGACTACAAAATTCCTAAAATTCTTATTTATCTTCTCAGCTTTGAAAATTAACTATGAGAAATAGCTTTAATGAGTCCCACTTGCTATTTTATTTTTGCTAATAGGTCACTGTGAATCATGATAGAATCATATCATCTCAGGTCCCAGTTTTAAATAATAGTATTTTGGGTAAAAGAATTGCTGCAAAATTCAGCAAATAGAAGTAGCATTAACCACATTTTCTCTATATTATCAACATTCTGTCTTCTCAAGATAATCAAAATACTTTCAGATCCCAAGAAGCTACACTAAGGCCTACTTTGACAAAAAGCACACTTTATGATGAAACTCAGAAAACCTGAGTGGGAGATTTAGTGATGCTATCAGTCACCAGGATGGATTTGGATGAGTCCCTTCGGTCCCCCTTGTTTGAGGAATCATTTGCTAAACAAGGATCACTCAGTACCATCTAAAATTCCATGATTGTGCATTTGTTCACAATGCACTTTAGTTGCTTAGAATTTGATGAGTTTTCTGAAGTAGTGCTTAGAAATCAGTAGTTTAAACTCCAGTCACTTCCTCAAGGCTTACAGTGGGATTCCTTGCTTCTACACGGAGGCAATGGATGCTCGGCTGTTATTTATCCCTCTAACCTTCAGCACATTTTTAGTGTGTGTCATATTGAGGGATTTTATAGAGCTGGAAAACCTTATCCATTAGTGTAAAAATGAATGTCTAGTTTTCACTGAAGTCCTACTGTGCATCTTTCCTTTTCTGTCACTCTTGCTGATTAATCCTAGCATGCTTTGTCTCATTTATTTGAGATCAACCTGGCTCCAGTGACCTCCCTCCCTCCATCATTGTGAATACATATTGTACAACATACAATGAACATACAATGATCCTCTTTATATTTCAGTGTGCCTTTAAATATATAGAAGCTGTGCTCCCATGTCCAAAAACAGAAAGAAAGAAAGAAAGAAAGAAAGAAAGAAAGAAAGAAAGAAAGAAAGAAAGAAAGAAAGAAAGAAAGAAAGAAAAGAGAGAGGGGGCGGGAGGGAGGGAAGGAGGGAATGAAGGAGGAAAAAAGGAAGGAAGGAAGGAAGGAAGGAAGGAAGGAAGGAAGGAAGGAAGGAAGGAAGGAAGGAAGGAAGAAAGGCAGGCCAAGCCAAGCCAGATTGAAGAGATGCCCTGACTACATACATGGCTCCTCACATGCAATGTAGAAGCTCACTCTCTGGTGCACACTGGCACAAACATACAACACCTCGAGCACCTTTCTGCACACACACAAACATATGCACAGTACCTAACTTGGGGTACATGTTTTGCCTGGCTGTTACTTCCTTTTCAGATTAAGGGTGCTTTGACCATCAGAAGGGGCTTTGCATTCAGTATCCAGTGGCTTCTGCGGGCAGATTGCAAACAATGAGCGTAAAGAGAACAATGAGAGTAATGTTTATTGGAATAAAAATTAGGTTTTAAATTCCTTGGGGGAATGAACCAATGCCAATGTTTTCCTGTTCAGTGACATTTTTTTTTTTTTAACTGATGCTGTTTGGGATCTTCTGAAGAAGAAAGGGGTGGGGGAGCTTCAGCAATTCAGCTCTTTGATTCCAAAATGGAATCTGAAAAGCTGTTTTATTGAGGCTTTTGCCAATCCCTGACTTAATCAGTTTTGACTGTGACAAAGACAGTAGCCTCACACATTTAGTGCAAATCCGAGCAGTGGAGGATATTTTTCGGGGGTGCAGGGAGATAGCCCAGTTGTTTAAAGAATCCTGGGCCAATAGCATTTGATAGGCGGAGTTACGGCTGTGTGCATTGCTGAGCAAGATAATTCTGAATGAAGACTTTAAAAGCACATGCTGGACGGACTCGGGTTCCGCCCTTTGTGCAGACAAAAGTAGCTGGGTGGCCAGGCTGTTCGAGTTAATGCAGCTTGTTTGATAAGGTTTTCTTAAGAAAAAAAAATACATGTAAAGGATTTATCAAAAGCCCTCATGAATGTTTCATGAGTTGATATATTCAGCTGAATGGATTCAGTGAGTCTCAGTGTGTAACTTGCAGACAAACCCCATCCACAAGGAGGCTGGTGACAGAGGAAGCACTTTGGCGCATTTTCAGAGGCAAAGGCAGGCTGATAAAGCTCCTTGTGACAGGCTGACTTGCCAGTCTCCCAGTATGCTGCTCTTGCTCTGAAGTGCTACAGGATTGGAACCAGAGCTTCCCAAATTAGCCTGGGGAGAGTGTGCGGACCCAGCAGCCTTTTAACCTGCGGCAGTGCCTTTGCTATGTTCAAGATTGTTGTTTTGGATGGTGAAAGCTAGCGCTCCATACAAGACATGACAGCCAAAAATTCTCCCAAAGAACTTGCTGCTTCTGAATCTGAGGTTTGCATAAAGACTTTCAAGGAGCAGATGCGCTTGGAACTTGAGCTTCCAAAGCTACCAGGAAACAGACCTACATCTCCCAAAATTTCTCCACGCAGTTCACCAAGGAATTCACCATGCTTTTTCAGAAAGTTGCTGGTGAATAAAAGCATCCGACAGCGGCGTCGCTTCACTGTGGCTCATACATGGTAAGAGGGGACTTAAAGGCATCCCCGGTGCTCGGCAGATTCTTGGGTTCTCAGTAGTGATTTAGAAAGGTTGAAAATGGAATGTCTGAGTTTTGCTCTGAATGCATAGCACAAGTCTGAGTTGAAAGGATACAGTAGGTCAGCTAAGAATACACAAACGTACAGTATGCTTAAGTATCTTTGTGCTACCTGCTGTTTCCAGGTAAAATAAGATTCAGACTATGGAGACTCTTTGAAATGACTGCTTATAAAAATGTATTTTAGAAAATAGGGAATTGGAAGAGTTTTTAAAAGTAAGATTTTTGTTTCATCTTTGTTCTGTGATAGATTATTTTTAGCAGTGTATTTTTTTTGGTACAAGAATAGGTATTTTCATGTCAATTCTAGTCTATGGGGCATAAGCCTGAATGAGCTTTATTTTATCCTTACCAACTTTTATCTTACACTACTCAGGGGGTAGGGAAACTAAGTTCTCACTTACAAAGTTGCACTGACAATCTGTTGTATTTATGATTTCAAATTGCTTAAGTTACTTAAAAATTATGTATATTTTATGTATGCCAAGTATAAGCATTTAGTCACTCTATGGAAACTAAATTGAGCTTCCCACCTCTAGCATATATTTTACTCAGGCTGTAAAACACTAGACTGGCCTCCGTAAGGCAGTGGAGTGAAGAAGCACAAGGAAAGAACCCCAACATTAACTTACTTTGACCTGAAAAACTTGGGCCACCTCAGGTTTCCTTGAAGCGATGTGTCTTTCAAATTAAGGTAACCTTCCAAGTTGGTGTTTGTGCCTCAGTCTTATTTAATAGAGAGAGTGTAGCAATCAAAGCAGGAAGTAGTTTTTTAAGGTAATCCCCACAGTGATTTTGTGCCTACATGCTGGAGTGCCAGCTAACATAATCAACCAAGGCTTCTGAATATTTGAAAATTAATATGCACTGCGTTGTTTCCTCCTCACCAGAAAAATGTGCTCACTGTGTGCACAATGTGTTGATTAATCATAGTTACCCATAGAAAAAGATGTGGCTCACTTTGATGAATAGCCAACGTTCTCCCAACATATACTTCACATAGTTAAAGATGATTTACGTATTCTTGCTTCTGACTGTGGTATGGTATTCTTTCTTGGAGAACTCTTTGGTCATTTTGATGAAACGTATTTGATCGTGCTCTGTTGCTTGTAGAACACATGTGACTAAGTTTGCAAAAACCTACCAATGGTGACAGCATTTGTAGAAAGAGGGTGTTCATGCAAAAAATGTGCTGATTTGGAAAAGTCCTCTCTCTCATTCTTTGCCTCTCCTCCAACATATGTGATTTCATATATAATCTGCTGAGTGGTGTGACTAACTACAGGAAGATAAGTACTTGTATAGTTCTCATTAAGAGAACATATGTAGGGAAGTATTTATTTAATGAATAAATGCATATGTCTTACTAATTGAAGGACTATTAAATCATTGTATTGATATGAAGGACCTTTAATTTTAGGTGTATAATTTTCAAAGACTGGAGAATCTTAAAATTCTGATATTTTCACTAATGTGGAATTTTTGGTTCTTTATACTAATGTGACCTTTCTCCTTCTTAGAATAGATTCCTAATGTGATAGAAGCACAGAGCTATAAATACTAGTGGATTTTTTTCTTTTCAAAAGAATGAAGTTTTAGAATGATTAAAGAGCCAGTTTTACTCACGCATTACACAAATTTTCTTGCAAGTTGCAAAAAGAACAATTTAATGATATGTGAGGTTACTTATGCTAATGAAATGATCTTTTAGATGAGTTAAAACAAAAGTTCCCACAATTGCCAAAAAAAGAAACAAGACATTGGCATAATGTAATTCAATGCAGGCATAAAGAATTCATTAATCATCGGCTGTAAAATATCTGTAGGTACGGCTCTGTTCACCCTTTTCCTCCCAGCTCACATTCTCAACTTGTTTGCAGCTCCTGATTAAATCCCCACTGATGCTTCTTTTTGTTATTGTATCTGTTGTAAGATGCTTAACATTTTCCAAGTTTACTGTTATGAAATTGTCAAGGAAAATCCTTTTTTGGAAAATAGATATGCCTCTTATGTATTTGAATGATTTTTCTCCAAATCTCAAGAGCCCAGTGCTGTTTTATTTTCTTATCATATGAGGAAGCTCAGCAGGCCCACCTTAGTTTTGCATCTTTGTCGTGATGAAATATAACTAGCCTTTCCTGATTAGTGATTGGCATTTTCTAGACCATGCACTTAAGTTAGAACTGCTAAGATACATACTCAGAAGTCCCTAAAAACATGTTATTACTTTCCGGCAGACAGTAGACTTCTTTCAAGAAGACTGGATTGTTTTGATTCCTGCAACAAAATTGAAGTAATTTTCATGATAAAGCTAAGCAATACAGAGGGTCCAGTTCACATCTAAGCCTTTTGAAAATTTGTCTTTGTTTAGTTATTTGTAGATTTCATACTTTGATGGAATGGACATGCAACTCTGGCTTCAGAGACCTGAGTCATGAAGTTGGGCTTAACAATATATTTACCAAATGCACATTTGTATAGTTCTGACTCTGGAATTATTTTAGAAATATCTAAAGAAAAGTACATATTTGGTGTGTTGTCATTGTTATTCATCATTTTACACAAACCCAAATCTGGAAGAAATTTTAATAATTATCTTACTGTTCCCTCTTACCCTTGGGCAGAACCACATTGCTCCATCTTTGACATATGGGCATCTGGCCTACTTTGAAAACTGAAGAGAAACAATTCTAATAATGCCACTTTGTATACAGCACTTTGCCATTTCATATTTATAGATATTGGAAAAACCATTCCTGTTTTCCCCTCACTGGCTACTTAGAAAAGTTGGTAATAATGGGCCTGAATGGGAGGATTATCAAGAGGCTCTTTGTTTTGTTTTTACTTATTCAATGTACATAAATGAACATATATAAATTGCTATGTAGAAAAGAAAAATAATTCAGGTTCAACCTATATTTCCCCTCTTCAACTATATCTTAAATTCTTTACTATAATGTTCACATATTTTCTTAAGTTCTTTATTTGAATTCTTTAGGGTCCACAAGTTATACGTATAAAAGACTTAATTCTCTCTCTTCTTCTAAGTACTTCTATTTCATTATTCATTGTTTGACTCTGATCCACACTCCAAAATTCCAGTTCTTTGAATTAAGACTCCCCAAGTGGGTAACAACATTATTACTGAGTGAGGTGGTAGTGTGTGGTGTGGTGTGTGTGTGTGTGTGTGTGTGTGTGTGTGTGTATGTGTAAGTATTAGGGACTACTTGGCCTTGCTGGGTACAGAATGTAATAGCATCATTCTCAGGGTAGTGTATTGTTTATCCTTGACCTCAAATACAAGGTAACAGTTTCTGAAACACAATGTTCCTATGTAAAGTATCTGACTATAAAACCTATTCACTTTTGCCTGTCACTTGCAGCAAGTTGTCTAACATTTTTACCATCTCTTCAGGGTTGGAGTCATTCCTCAGTCATCAGTTCTGTTCCAAGAAGTAGTGTGCTGGTACTGGTCTCTTATAAATCCTGGCTACTTCCTAAAATGCTGCCTTGTAGAATAGGAAATGTACCAATGGGAACCACCACCTATCTGTCCATGCTTACAAGCAAAAGCAACATGCTTTTAGTTATTGATTATTAAGGGAGAAAGCTTGCATTCCTCTTCTCCCAATTTAGTTTTCCATTATTGAAAGATAGATTTATTATTGTCTTAGTTAAGGTTTCTATCATTGTGTCAAACACCATGACCCCAAAATATGTTCACACCATCTCAAATCTGGAAGTAATTTGAATTATCTTATTATTCAATAATGAATTTACTTCATCTTTCAACTCTTGAAACATAATCACTTAGAGAAGTGAAATCAGGAACCTGAAGGTAGGAGCTAATACCATCAAGAAGTGCTGCCTACTGGCTTCCTCCCCATGGCTTATGTAGTCTGTTTTCTTATACAACCCAGGACTACTTGCCCTGTGGTGATAAAACCTACAGTGGGCTGGGACCTCCCACTTCTATCATTAACCAATAAAATGCCCCACGGGCTTGCCCATGGGCTTGTCTAGTAGGGACATTTCATCAACTGAAGTTCTTTCTTTCCAAAAGGATCTGTCAAGTTTGCCCAAACAATAGCTAGAACACTTATTTTAACCAATGTTTATGAAATGTGTAATTCATGTCTAATACATAAATATAAGAGTAATCAAAGCCAAGGTTTATACTCTAATGATAAAGCTGGAACAAATGGAGATTAAAAGAGAAACAATTATACATATATAACAAAATATAATATGTGCTTGGGCTTTTCTAACATCCTTTTTGTAGACTACTTTCTCAAATTAATCTACTGAATCTGTGTAGAATGTTTTCTTTAATTTGGTTGTTTCCTAGTAATATTGAAAACATTTGAGAGATGTCTAATTTTGAAAATGTTTGTTGATTGAAGAGAAATAGTCACCACGTGCCCTAATCTGGGTATTAGAAGACAAACTTAGAAGAAATTTTTACCTTTAAAATACTCATGTAGTAACTGGAAGATGAACATATTCATCCATAAATTATCAGTGGAGTATGAAAAATACTGCAGAAGTGTACTGCCCATTGCCATAGTAATCAGTAGAAATCATACTGTGTTTTAGAGTTAATATACAGAAGAGATGCCATTAAAGTCGGGTCTTGAGAGTGAACAGGCATTTTTTCTGGCAAAGAATAAGCAGAAAGAGCCTTTTTATCGGGCCAAGAAAACAATAGTTGACTAGACCACACCATGATATCATTAAGGTTTTTATTGTACATGGGAGAGAGAAAATATCCAGGGACACCTAGAAGAGTCCAGAGAAGAAGGAAAGAGAAACATACTGGACATGGTCAGGGCTATCTGTGAGAGAAGGGAGAAGAGCAAGAAATGAGTGAGAGAGGG